CATCCTTTGCCCTTGAAATATTTGGCTTCGATTTTCTTATTCCAAAAGTGGAAGGAAAATTCAGGAAGCGAGAGGGCATGCAATCCAAGAGGAGCACAGCCAGTTGCAGCTGGAAACATTAAACTCTAGGCTTTCTCTGGTTTTCCTTAGCTTATTAGGACTCGCATTATTTTAGCTCCCAGTCATGAAGCTGGTGGTGGTGGTGGTGGTGGTGGTGGTGGAGTAGTAATTTGACCTTTCTGCTAGGAGTTTTGGATATGACTGATTTACATTCCTCCTTATCAACTTAAATGCAGCAGTTCAGTTAAAGACAGGCCTGTAAATGCAGAGTAGGATCTGGTTTTGATTGGAGTCTGCTGTTGGGAAATTCTTCATATGTGTTTGTCACTTTTTGTGCCTTCCCTGTTCTCTTGGTGATGTTGCTCCTCCTTTTTTACTAGCTTTACAAGCCTTGCAGGAATGGTTCTTATCTTGCGTCTTCTTGTTCCTGCACTACTATAAAAAAATAAAATTCAGTTTTTCTGCTGATTAGCAATCTGTGAAATGAGAACTATTATATGCATGAATCCCTTCTATTCCAAATAAGAAATGTTAGTGGTTGTTTAAAAGCTTTAAGGAAAATAGCCTTTTATGTTACTTCTTGGCAGAAGTCATGCTGTTACTGCTTTGAGTTTGAATTGACCTTCTAAGCAAACAGTTTGCCTTGAAGATCAACGTTTTGGTCTCACTGTAAAAAGCATAGTTGTGGATTCTTGTGTTAAGGGGGACTGGTTATAAAAAGATAATACTGTCTCCCCAAAAAATCTGAAAGTGCTATCAGCAAAGTGGAGCAAAGAGCCCTCTTTTCAAAGTGAACACTGAGGATATACAAAAGTAGCCTTTTTTGATGGGGGGAGCATATTTCTGCTTTCCCATGGGTTGGTAGTACATATTCAGGACAGTGAATGAGCTTGGAAGTGTATTGCTGCCCAAGATTACAGCTCCTTCAAGGTTCACAGGTATCAGGGTAAACTGTTGGTGCACACTTTGTGCAAGTAACTAATGAAGGTGAATACCATTTTCCCCATTTCAGAATAAGTGTAATCTATGTATTTGAATGCCAATCTGTTCTAAGCCCTCTTGCACAGATGGAGCTTTCCAAAAGTAAAATGAGTTTACTCGCCTCAGACATATAATAGCAAAAAGAGTTGTATCAGTGGCAGACAGAAGCTCTAATCGTTTGTGGGATCCCTAGTACGTTTCCCACCAGCTGCAGTTGGCATTCGGTGTTGCCACGCGTGAGTAAATTACTGTAACAGGTTTTCTTTAAGCAGGGAGTCTTAAGAAGAAGAATGGGCTTTCAACTTCTAAGCGTTACTTGGCAAGGAAAAGCTACAGAGGAAGAGCTGATTCCTTGGAGGGATGGGAAGAACTTAAATGAAATCAAGAGCTTGCTTTGTTAGGGTTTCATATTGTGTTTGTTGGCTGGATAAACTTTGCCTATGTGGCATCTTTTAAAATTAGTACAAGCTGGAAAGGGAGTCAGGGAAAGCAATGGAGCTTGGCAAGTTTATAAACTAAGCAAGGAGGCTTTGGGGATGGAAGGAGGAGGATGTACCAAAACCTTGAAATAAGTCGGTGCTTAAATGCTACTTTCTGTGCATCTTCTTTAGCTGAGCTCTTCCTTGCTGTTTTTTTGGGGGTGGGGTGGGGGGCGAGGAGCTATCTTTCATTGATTTTTCTCTGGTTGGAGACTGCAGTTTTTTAAAAGTAAAAAATCAATCTTGAGAATGTGATGAATGGGTCCAGTATTTTCAGCCCATTTTTGAGGGGGAATTTCAAGAGGCAACATGGATGTGTATTCCTCAAACAGGCCCACTCTGGCCAAAAAAGGAGAAATGATGCTGTTGAAAAGTGAGAGCTTTGCCCAAATGTGTGATCTGGGTATGCTCTGGGGACAATAGGAATGGGACTGGGGGCATCATATGGCCAGGAATTTCCCACCCCCATGCTAACTGCTGCCATTATCCACCACTCATGGGTGTTTGAAGATGGTGCAATTGTTATTGGATCAGCCCATCTGATTCTTTCTGTAACACTTGATTAAGGATTTGGAAAGTATCTAGCAAGGTGTGATTTTCTGCTTGAGCTTCCTGGCTGTAGCCTCCAGATCATTCGTTGCATCAGAAGTGCATCTGCTTCAAACACTGATAGCAGTAAAAAGCCTCTATAATAAATTAAATTAATGTTCTTATGATTTAATTCTCCTGCCACTGTTTGAAGACGCCAAAAGTCTGCTTTGACATATCCACAGTGAATAAAATTTTACAACCCAGGAGCAGGGGGTGAAGATAACCCTCTTGAGGCCTTTTATGAGCCTAGCATTTAGCACAGGTAGGAAGCTAACTTGTAGTAGCCACTTAGATGATAGGAATTTCCTCCAGGAGAACAGACCAGTAAATGTTTCTATAACTAGCAAGGCCTGGTTCCTTTATTTTCAAGCTGCCAGTTGTACAACGAATGACTAATATAAACAGGAAAAATGTTGTGAATGACCAGCTTGTGTAGACTTATGTTCAAAGAGGAATCCAGAGGGTGTTTCTGGTCTGTTCTGAAAGTCAAGATGGAAAAAATAGAAGTTTGACCAGCATGTTAGATATGAAACATACAGTCTAACGTTATATGCAATTCTTAACAAAATTGGAAGTAGTGATTGGCAACTACTGTTTAGCACAAATGTATCTCATAGCAAAAATGGGAGTTAAAATTTTTGTTTCTTTAATATTAGAAATATCTTCATGTTTATTGCTTTTCTGCCTCAGCTGGAATAAACCATAGTGATCTTTGGGGCTAGGAAAACAAGTGTGTGTATGGAAGAATTATTTCTGTCCCCTTCAGGGCCTCAAAGAGCAGGTGACTTAAGATACAGTCGTACCATTTCAGTGAATTGGCTCTGGTTAGCCCAGACTGGTTTGCTTTATAAATAGTAGTTCAACACGGACCTACTAAATTCAGTCGTGATTCCAAAACATTTAACCAAGTTTTCTTCTGTGCATTTTGGCTGGTTGCCAAGGAAGTATTTATGAGATCTTTGTTTTTTTCCCTCTCAAATTTATGTCCTTTCTGTTGCATTTTTTCTTCTCTTTTCACAGATCCACACATTTTGAGGTAGGGAGGAAGAATCCTTTGGTTTCCTCTCATTCTGACCACAATAGCACTCTCCCCTTAAAACTTAATTTATATTGACGTTCCCCTAAATGGGAACAGAGAGAGTGCAAACATCTGATCATCTGAAAGTAAACTTCAGTTAATCAGAATAAGTTTGCAAGAATGATTATTTTGTCCTCTCAACTGAATACTTACTCCTTGTGTTAAAAAACTCAGAAAACTATTGTTACCTCTGAGAACACATTATGGTACAATATCTGTGCCTAACAGCAGTTTCCAATCTTTTCCTTCACGCAGACCACTACATCATCAACAGCCTTGGAGGCCACCCTATCAGCAAGTTGTTTTAAACTTATTCTCTCTTGAGCAAGTTAGATAAAAGCCATTGCTCCATTTTTGGATTCCCATATTCTAACCACACAGTGATCAAAAAGCATTGGGTCATAATGATGCTGCACAACGGGTTCATATTAAAATTCAGAGGAAGTTGGATTATGCAAGGATGTTTGTGAGTCAATAGCATTTCACATAATAATGTAATCTTCAGTTATTTAGTGATCACCTTCACAAATCAACAGTGGTCCATGGAGTACAGATGGGAGACCATAACATAAAAATTGGTTGCTTGCTGTAACAAAGTATTTTAAGTTGCCGAACATACATACCCATTATGCTATCCCTTTCAGGGTAAGAAGCATTATGCAAAGTGCAGGAAAGAAGAAACTGTAAACCAAAAAATTAAAGAGAAAAGGAAAGGAACTATGGCTAAATCTGGCTCACTTCAATATTATTTACCATGACTTTTATCTTTGCAAACAATTCTTGGCTCCATCTTTGCCATGCACTGCTTCACAAATTGCTTTCTGTTCTTAAAACTTCTTACTGCTTTCTTTTTGAGGAGCTCATGAACTCCATCCACCCCCAACCTTCTCAAGTCTTCCCTTCTCAAATTGTTCACTCTTTCGTCATATATTTGCTTTGCAATTTGAACCTCGTTTATTCTTTGTATATGTTCAAACCATCTTGACATACTATCCATACTATCTTGACTACTGTTCATGTATTTTTGTATTCAGTCCACATTCCATCAACACCCATTCATTCTTCACCCAATCTCTTACTTTATACACATCCCTTTAAGTATACCATTCCCACTACATTCAATTTACTCTTATGATTCTCCTGGGCAGAAAGCATGTTCCAAATACTATCACCCATTCCTCCCAAGAGTCAGGAACTTTTCAATCAAGTAGTACTACCAATCTAAGATTTGCTTGGCTATCAGATTTGGTCTGCAAAAATCCAAGTGGTGACCACTAGATAAAACCTAAGAATTAGGATTGTCTGTATATCTCTGCTGCCTGGTCTAGTGATCATCCAGATTTTTGCAAACCAGATCTGGTAGTCCTAATGGGTGAATATTCTCTGGGATTTAGGATTATTTTAATGGAAAAGGCTCCATTAACTTGGTGGTAGAACCATGCTTGTTTTGCATACACAAACTTACATGACCAGTTGTTTTCCCATTCCCACCTAAAAGGAGTTTGGATAGCACAGCAGAGAAACACCTTTGTGAGTCACCCTGGAGAGCTGCTTCCAAGCAAAATAGCCACGTAAATAGGCCAGTGGTCCAACACTGCATTCATACGTTTAATAATATATGTGCAAGTTATTAAATACACATACAGAGCTATATTTGAAAACCTGGGCTATTCATGTCCAGCTCCATAGAGAATGCGCCCCGACCTTATGCAAATAAATGAACAGTAAATGGGAATAGGTTTTGTAAAGGTCTTCAACCCTTTCTCTTTGGAATTGCAGAATGACGACCTTCGAAATCTGGCCTTGTCAGGCCATGTTGGTTTTGACAGTCTCCCTGATCAGCTGGTGAACAAGTCAACCTCACAGGGTTTCTGCTTCAACATCCTTTGTGTTGGTAAGTCATACTGATGAGACTCTGCTAAAGCAATTTTCTGCATTCTTTCCAAATACCACAAGATGGATTCCTTCCTTTGGAATGTGTAAGACAGGAAACATCAGTAGGAATATATTAGTAGATATGTGCCAACTCCTGTGTCCACAGGGAAGGCAAAAGGGGCAGATGACATCACATCACACACACAGTGCAGATTACATCATTATGATGGAAAATGACGCAAGTCCATAATTTGCATTGTTTGCAAGATGTATGCAGAGAATACTGATGTCATCATGGCCTTGACCAAATATGCCTTGTTAATGTTAAAAACATACAGTGGGGCAAAAAATATTTAGTCAGCCACCAATTGTGCAAGTTCTCCCACTTAAAAAGATGAGAGAGGCCTGTAATTTTCATCATAGGTATACCTCAACTATGA